CCATAATTCGGTTATTTCTGGCCATTGGCAGATTTTCTAAACGGTAAATAAATCTATGGACCATACTGAACATGTACATACCAATCAGAATGGGCTAAGCAATTTGCTAATTAAATATTTTCCTTTTTAGTGTTAATAAGCGTTTATAATAATTATAAATAAATTGTAGTAAAGACCATCTCTACCAACCTTGCACTGAAAATGATAGGCAACGATTCTAGTGGACACGTAAATCTGTACAATTGTATCTTATTTATAAATTCTACATTCAATAAATTAGTGATTATGGTCAATTTGAGATAGAATATGATGATATCAGTGGATATTATAATATTAACAATAGGACAGGCCCACAGAACAAACTCGTCAAATTGATAGCCTATTATTGTAATTCAAAGGCTATCAATTTGACGACTTTATACTTTGGGCCAATTCATAAACACAACGCCCGGGATCTCTTGACATTAGCCTATACTACAGTACATACACCAAATATGGAAATAGACCAACTCTGTGTTTAACAACAAGTTTACCATACTTAATTGTGTTTTTTATTCAATTTATTTATAATATAATGGCAGCCGTTTGTTCTATACGAAACATATATTTTAAAAATACATGAAATATTTATCATAATGGTTATGGTGAAATAGATATCAGTATGAAACATAGCATAAATGTGCATAAAGGGTACCGATTATGATAATTGTAATAGAGTAATTGATAATTCAAGTTATATTAACTATTTAAATAATGAAACCAGTTTCATTAGTATAGAGTGTGATCGAAATTTTATTATATGCTAATAAATGTAAATTATAGTAATTATCGTATATTATCTTGTGATAATATATTTGACAAATTAAATCTTAAAACTTGCATTTTCGTGAAAACATGACAATAAATAAACTATAATTAACACGTAATCATTAAATGATACTAGTACAGATATAATTATGCATGAGATCTTATTTTAATATTGTGACATATATTGTTTTATTTCTGTAATTTCATATGAAAAATAATATATTTTATAAGAAAGTATTAAGTACAATATTTTAATCAAGTAGTGCCCAATGAGATCTGTTGGAATTTACACATATAAAATGTTTTAGTGCAAAAATATAAATTGCCATTATAAATTAATCATATTTGAATAGCTATATTTTATATTTAAATTACTAGAATAGGTGAAATATTCTTTTATGACCTATTATAATTTTCACACGACCCGCGCGTTTAAACAATTTAAATTGCATAAATAGAGATGATATTTGAATTACTAAATTCTATTACTGTAACATTACAATAATGCAACTAAAGGTTGTGTTTGTGGTTGTATTGTTAATTCTGTGCCCATTGTTGTCACTCGGGGCCCGATATCGCTGCTATACCGGTACTATCCCCGGATGTACGTGTACTGCTACTTATGTAAGTATTGAAAAATTTACAAGTTAAAATAACACGGGTAATGGTAAGTCTATGGCTTAAGCATAACATGGGTAATGCTAATCTTATGGACAAGGCTAACTGTAATTAAATCTATATATTATGCTAAACCAATTTTTGAGTATCATCCGAATTGTGGTTATCGTATAGCATCGCTGTGTGAACCTTGTTTAAAAATATATTTATTATATGAATTTTTTATTATTAAAAATTGTTAAAATAAATTTTCTGATACATAATAATTACTATGAATTGCAATGTTATGTATAATATTTAAACATATTAAACCAATATTAATTATTTGTATTATGTATATATCTTTGTACATATTGTATAGATCGATTATACATACAAAACCACCCTATCGTGTAACGCGGGTGTGGGTAGTGTAAACGATTTATCCAATACCATACTCAAAACCTCGGGCTATCAATTCGATGACGTTATATTCAGCGCTTACCCGAACTCACGGTTTCCGGCAAAAATGTTTGACGAGACGACTGTAATCAAGCGATTAATAATAAAGGACTCGCCACTACTCGAAGGATTTGGCACAAACGGTGCCGCACCTACAGGGGTGTTTACCAATCTTGGTAAAAGCTTAGAAACTATAGTATTGGATAATTTGCCCAAGCTAAGAGATGTTGAGTACGAAAACATTGGCAAACAATTGAGTCCGACTAAGATTAAAGCGTTAGATGATGTTACGGAAACTCCTTCTGAGTTAGTTTTGAAAAATTTGGTCATTTCACGACAGACCAAGTTGTATAATTTGAATTTGTTAAAAGACACATTAATAGGCTCAATCGAACGTCTGGTACTCAGAGGCAATGGGTTCATTATTATACAAAAAGATTTCACCACATACACTAACCTCGCTTTATTAGATTTTTCTGATACAATATCTCTCAGAAATTTTGACATGGACGGCACACCAGCTGACAAACCAACATTGACAAATATATTACTTAGTAAAGGAAGTTTGGAAGCGTTCAGCGAAAACACGTTTAAACATTTCTTAAAAGCTGATTTTGTTGATCTAAGCGGTGAGTAATAATTGTTATTAAGTTATGGCAATTACCATATTATTTGTGTTACAAATAAAAATAATATCTTATGAAATTATTATATTTTATGAGCTAACTAATATGCGTATCTTGAATTATAAACTAAGTAAACTTGTAATTGCTTTAATTATTATTAACACACAATATTTTGTCTCTAGGTAATCCGTTAAGTTGCGATTGTTCAAGATTACCCAACAATTTTGAGAGCGAGGAAAATAAAATTCTATTCCAGGGCTCAATCTGTAGCACCCCGGCCAGCATTAAAGGTCTACAATACGGTAGCACCTGTATGCATGTGGCGTATCTGTTTGGTGGTAAGTATGGACAATTTAAAAAGTCTATTCATTAATAGCAACAGTTAAATCCAGTATATTATTAAACTAAATTAACATGTTCAATGAATGAATTTATTGTTATACTAAATAATAAACAGTATAAATTGAAAATGTTTTTGTAAATATTATTTGTTTAAATTGGTGATAAATTTGATATAATATTGATCAAAAATAATTGTTGTAAAGCTACATACAACTGTATATCACACAATATTTTGTTAGATAATCTTTTAAATAGATTTAAAAGGTTTTTAGAAAGGTTAACCGAACAATCCTGTAAACCACATTATTCATATCTAAATTGTTTCTAAAAATTATCATTACTTATGGTAAATAGCCTAAGAAAAAATTCGAATTCTATTTAAACGTTATTTTGACTTATTATAATAATTTGGTCGTTATAATAAAATATTCCTTATAATATGTAAATTATTGCGTAATATTATAACATTTATAAATGAACTTGTTTAGTACACAAATACACTGGATTTATTGCAATAATTTTTACGACACTTATAAGAACAATATAGTTACAAAATTCTATTATGGATAACATTTTGAGATGTACAGAGTGTGAAATATGTAAGCGCAAATTTTTCTAAGTAGAGTAGCAACGATATACCACCGATCGTAATATTGGAATATCATTAAGTTGGAGATTTGTCTTTTATAAGCGGCATCAGGGTTACATACATAATATGTATTAATACATATTAACATGTGTTAATACATATTGAAAATACATATTATGTATCTGCAATATAAAACACTTTCTACTTATACAAATACTGTTTTTATTAACATATTTTAATTAAACAATATTTTAGTAAGAACCTTTTTTATAACAATGCTTTTACTTTGCGTTTTTCGTTTATCATAAAGAGGTATTACTGTATTTGCTTTGTTTCAAATTTTGAAATATTATGCTACAATTACATAAATATTTATAATTATTAGTCAGTAATAAAAGAAATGCATTTTATTGTAATCAATTAAAGGTAATAAATAAAATTATTACATTGATAATAATTTACACAATAAAGTGATATAAAATTTAATGTAATCTAATTTGATTTTGTAAAAAATTTAATGTAAAATTATGTATATATATTATATTAATTAATATACATAAAACAATATAATATATTTTTGAGAAATTATATAAGAATATTATTTAGAAATACACTAAAGTAGTATTACCTAAAAGAATTTGTTTAATGCAATTTCTTAGTTTGTTAGTAACAAAGTATATTATAAAATATATTACCGATATAATATTAGTAACATAGGTAATATTTAAACATGTACAAGAGAATATGAATTGTGCAGTATATGAAATATACTAAATGTACTTTATATTTATTACCATTATCTTTATGACATGAATAATATTCTATAAAATACACTATCGGGTGTACATTATTGGACTAGACCATTACAAAGTCGAATATCTCGAAAGGTATTCGGTCTAAAAAATTAAATAATATATCAAAATAATCATCAACTGCGGGAGTTTTTGTTGTGATATGGTCA